TAAATGTTTTTTTTGATAAAATTAATAATATTTTCGTATGGAACTAAAGAGCCGCAGCTTCACATCCAAAGAGCCGCATGTGGCTTGCGAGCCGCAGGTTGCCGACCCCTGATCTAGACTCTAGATTATACCTTTTATCATTCGTGAGGACACCGGTTTGACTGCAGTTTACCTGCCCTGGTCCATGTTTTCCTGCGGTTTCCTTCAAACATTTTGGTCGGAACGGAATATCAATATTATTGGCAGAAATACCTATCATTTTATGAGCAAACGTTAACTTCTGCATTTATTGGAAAATATTCTAAAAAAGAGCTTTTTGGATGTTTCATTCTCACCAGCTATTAATTCTGCTGGACAGACAGTTCCTCAGGACTACGCCGGACGGGGGCTCTTCAGCTTCCTTTTAGGAATTCTGGTTGCCAACCGTCCAGTTTTAGTCTGAAGAATCCAGAAAAATTAAGTTTTCTCTAGACTCCAATTTATAAAAGAATAATCTCCGGATTTTTTAATTATTAATGGCAGTATTCTTATTGAATATCACAGACAGTGGTGTTACTATACTAATTCTCTACCTAGACCATAGCGTGAGCTAGTGGACCCTATTATTTTAAATACTTCAGTTTGTATTACTTAAAATATTTAAATAAATTAATTATTTTATGTACCAGTTGATTATTTTATAACTATCCAAAACAAATATGCTTTCTTTTCTACATCTATATATTTATTAAATGGATGTCCCCAAAGATAAGATGGAGGAAATGAAGACAAAAAACAAATGAAATATTGTCTGTGGAATATTATTATTAACCAATTACCTAAGTAATCGAACCAGTCTCTTCCTTAATGCTAAGCATTGGTCTAAACATCTAGGGCCTCTAGGCAATGTCGCTTGGTGGAACACATTTTAGTTTGTACTTTGTACTCCGTTTATTGTGGATAGATTACCCATCTGATTAAACTTCAACATCCTGGATACTGAGTAGCTCGGAGTAGCAAGATTTGTGAAATTTATTATGTAGTTCCTGGCAGGCTTGGAGTACCTGCTCCTGGTCGGTTTGGGTCTTTTTTTAGATTATAAATATTATAGCGGTCTTAGACCCTACTTAAAATTCAAATTTGCAGCGTTATAATAGTCTTCAAACGATTTATTTCTCGAGTCTAATTGTAAGATTGTGCCGCCTGCTACCCCCTTGGAAGGAAATTAATTATATTAACAGCAACAAACAAAATACAACATTCATTCTTTTAATATCAATCATGTAGCATTCATATAACATTATATTATTTAATTTAAATAGACAGTAAAAGATAATAGAATTTGGAATCATCAGAACTAATTTTAAAGGACATTTTCTAGTGATAAAAAGTAGGAGGTAATGTTGAATTTTTGAGTAGTCAGTTCGGAATGTTAATCGCGCTTGAAGAATCGAAGCTTTTTAACACTAAAACATCTTAAAGGTTGCATTTTATCGACAATTGGATCATACTACGATGTTACTATTTATCATGATTTTGAATGAATGAAATCAAAAAATTTCCTTAACGGAAATAATTTTTGAAGCAATCCTTGAAGGACAGTTGTTTGCTTGATATCATATTTCCAGTAAAAGTTTTAGTTCACAGAGATAATTCATTGCCAGATGAAATGTGGTGTTACAGGCGAATGATGAGGATACCGTGGATAGAGAAGCTTAAAAATTAAGAGGTATTAGAAAGAATAGGAGAAGTAGGTGAGATAGGTTTGTGAGACACTTCTTAGGCATGAAGGTCTAGTCAAGAAACATATTAGAGGTAGAAACGGGAGTTAGGAGGTGAAGAGGTAGACCTAGATTAGATTGCTGTTAAGGATGTGGCTTGTTCTATTTTTGGGAAATGTGAAGATTAGCTCAGGATAGGACTGAGTGGAGGTGTGTGTCCAACCAGTCTTAGGACTGACGACCTTATGATGATGATGAAAAAAATTGGAACATCGAAATTACATACAAACATTTAAGAAGATAATTTTGAAGTATGTGAGTCACACAACCTCAAATTACAACTCAATAAGTGTTTGAGTATCCAGGTATTTGAATACTTATTCATATGTTTGAAATTTGTAATATTCAAAATTTAAAAAATAATAAACTATACAATTCTGAGCCCTAATTAAAGCAGTGGTTCAACGTTAAACAGAGCCATCAATTTTGGGGGGTTAATTGACATCCACCCTTGCGTCATTCAAAAAAGGTGACACGCTTTCAAAAGCACGCCGAGCAATAATAAAAGGGTCCTTCCTCTTTCGAAAAAGCTCGAGGAGAGATCCTGATGTCAGATAAGGAAAGACTCTCCATTCATCGGTCTAACAAGGACGACACATCCTCTGTGTAAACAGAAACGTGCGCGTTGGTGCAAAGCGCACGCAGCGAACCATTGAGCGGGATTTGAATTTCGAATATGAAGTTGCGCCTTTCAGTGTTTTCCACGCTGCTGGTTGTTGTGGGTGAGAATTGCTCATGCGGGTACACGTGCTGTAAACATTGACATGTGCCATTCGGAGTTGCTGTAGAAAATTGTGGATATTAGATTGCTACAGGTGCCCGGTAATTGGACGATAAGGTAAGAAACATTATTCCACGGTATAGCGCCTCTTTTTCTTTAATTATTATTTATTAACACTCGTCTGAAACTTTCTGAGTGGATTTATTTTATCTGTGAAAACTGTGGAAAATGAGCCGTTTTTAGTCTCGAATCCGGGAAATACGTCAATTAAATTAAAAGCGTACAATTAACCGATTGATTTTCACTTTAATAATTTAATAAAAAAATTGGTCTAAAAAAAGTTGGGATGCGTTGAATTTTTGAACTACCTGAATTTCATACTGATCTATAATTTTCCTGGACAATTTTTGCCGATCTTCACTCTAAACATGTCAATTTCATCATAAATTGTTGACGAACACATAGGGACCATGAAGTAGATGTAGGTACTAAGTGTGCTATTTTCTGATAAAATAATAATGTGACCTACAAAAACATTGGGCCGTATTGTGTAACCTACAAAAAAAGGGCAAAAACTATATTTCTATAATTTTACTTTATGATGATGAAGTGTATAAAACAGTCTCGTGGACGATTGACAGATAGCGCTCAGCCTAAATTGGTGGTCCTGAAGATTTGAAATATGAAGAAACGTTTTTTTAGTAATTACTTTAGGTGCCAATCAATTTAATTTGTTATTGATGGTGAATTTGTCTAATTTTTACAATACAAGGAATTCATTAAAATACAATATTCTGAAAGGGCTTTTAGTTTAATAGCATTGTGTTATACCTGTAAATTCGACTTATTGTTAAGATTTACCTTTATGTATTTATAAGATAAAATGCAACCTGAAACACGCTACTTTACACGATTAAAATTTCAAAATCATGGAACATTTTCTGCGAATGATTGACTTGCCTTGAGTGTTTAGCCGTTTTATTTATAATTAGATATTATCTAGTAATTTGATAGTTTTTGCTGTGCATGCGTTTATATGATATGTGACGATGACACTTTATGTATGAAACGTGTGGTGGGCGCTATGGATAGAAGTGTTTGAGATGTGGTGTTATAGGAGGATGCTATAAATATCGGGATAGAAAAAATTGGAAATGAGGTGGTACAAGAAATAATAGGATAATAGAGGGTGCTGTGAAAGTCAATAACAAATAGGTGAGATATTTTGGTTTGAATACTTTCTCGGGCTAGTTAGAGACATATTAGAAGAAGAAACAGGAGTTAAAAGGGGCAGATGTAGACTTAGATTAGATTACTGTTCGCAAATAGTTAAACTCTTCTGTTTTAGAATTAGGCAGCAGTCTTGAAACTAAATTCCGGACAGGTCGAATTCTATTTTCTGATTCTAATTATTATTTTTTGTATTGAATTATAATTCTCTCTTTTACTTAATTGTCGTATTGTGTTAAAATAAAAACTAGTAAAATAAATAAGAAAATTGGACTATTAAGAAGTGAATTTTAATCCAACAAAATTAAATTCACATCATTAAATGTTAATGGCACCTTAAACGTTTTTTCTGTTTATATTTTGACAATGGAAGAGTTTTTAATCACTTTTAAAATGGCTAAATAAATAACATCCCATAAAACACCATAAAATGCATTTATGAAAGAAATAACAAATTGAAAAAGATGCTATCAATTTTGTAATTTAACATTTAATTATCAATTCTTGTTAATGTTACAATAAACTAGTTACATGACCCACTAACCACGGTTCGATCTGTACTGGTTTAATTTCTTACCTTTTACGGCTTCAGTCTTGTTTGAAGAACAGGAAAGTTAATTATGGAACGCACTCTATGGGGTAAATAAATCAGACTACAACCTAGCTGAGACATTTTGGTAACAAAATCATTCAAGTATACATAAATAGATACATATTAAGTGTACCATCAAACGTTTCGCACATGTTTTTATTTTGCAGTTAATTTATTCAATTTATCTTTTTAAAAACGTTAAAAATACTAATTCATTTGGTCTAAAGGAACATGATGCTTTTATTAGGTTATTATCTATAAGCCATATAGCTACATCTTTATTAATAAACCTATTATTGTTAAATTTCATCATTTTAGTTCTACGTATATGAAGTGTAACAGACAGCTACGTTTGGTTGCGAGATTTAAAAACTATGTGACTGAGTAACCTTGTCGCTATGTCATTAAGTAATTTGGCCCAACAACTATAATAGCTTGTACTAAATGAAATGTGTCGTATGAATAAAATTGAACAATACATAATTTCCTGGAAAATATAAATACTCTACAATAGATTCTGATGTTGTGTGCTGAAATGTATCAAGTAAGATTAGTTTAGTTACTAGAAAAGTCGTGCTAAAACTGAATCTCATTCCATTATCGGATTTATACCTGAATCCGGGATTATTACATTGCACAGGTAGAGTGAAATACTCAGGTAAAGGTGGGTATAAAATGAAATAACTTTATTGTGCTTTTCTATGAACTGGGGCTCCGGTCTTTGCTTTTCACATCTGCCCCTTTGTCACATAAGCGCACCGATGGCTACTCTATTCGAATGTAAATGCTATAGTTCTCTCCCCATCGTTATTGCAACTGAGTTGAAGGACAAATTTAGTCGCCTTAAACATCATTTTTTTTCACGTATGAAATATATTTTGGTTGTTCTTTTGTGTGAGTAATGTGTAGGTACCTTTATTGAAAAATATTACTGATGGTGAGTACCTCCCTACTATCTTGTTCTACTTTTTAACACCTTAATTCAAACATATACCTAGTATAATCCTACTCATAACCAACCTGTGAAGTACCTATTACGTGATTGATTTTAAGAACTGATAACCTGAAGTTATATTAATGAAAGTGATTTTTGATTTTTCTTTCCCAAGGGAGAAATTAAATGAAAAATCATCAGGACATCATTACCTATTAAGAAACGTTTCAAATGTGTTCGTTTTTAATTAATAAAGCAGCATTCTTTATGTTTGTTTGTCTAAATATTTTTGAAAGATGCTTTTTGGAAATTGAAATTTTTTCTTCAAAAAATACCATAAAATTCTTCTTTCACTATAGATCGTTGTTGATTCGGATGCTATTACCATAATTCCGTGTGGCATTGGAACGACGATGGTCTGCTATTCTCTAGTGATGTTAGTTACGAAATAGGAAAATTAAATTTGTTCTGCACCAGTTTTTGTTAATTTACGAAATGAAAGTTGATTGTTTGCTCTAGTGTTGCCTAATTCAGTTTTTTGACAAAATATCTTTTTATGAAGCTTGCAGTTGAAAAATGAATTTAAGATACTTTAAAAATGTTGATTCTGAAAATTCGTTTGGCATTACAAAATATTCAACATCACCGTCATCATAAGGTCGTCAGTCCTACGACTGGTTGAACACGCACCTCCACTCTTTCTTGTCTTGACTTAAACTAAAATCACTAAAATTAGAACATCCCACATCCTTAACTATTTGCGAACAGTAATCGAATCCAATTCTACCTCTACACATCTTAACTCCTGTTTCTGCCTCTAATACGTCTCTGTCTAGTTTCGCATCCGTACAGCTCCCAAACATTCACCATTAACAATCTTCTTCGAATCTCTAAATTAACCTTTCGCCGAAGTTACTTCTTTTTATTGAAGTCGATTCGAACTTGCGCTATCCTTTGCTTTATATCAGTACTACTCCATCCGTCCTGACACTTTTCAGATACCTAAAATCAACCACTTATTTGTAAGCGGCCTTAAGTAACATACTCTCGAAGAGCATTCTGAACAGAATATCAAATAGATATCTTAAACTACGTAAATCAAGAACGTAGCATCACAGGGGCGTGGACAATATTGAGATATAAAGTATCGTCAGGAAGATGGTTAAGCGTTGCTTTAAGACATCCTAATCTCTTAATCAACAGATACACAANTGGTTTCCTAGAATCATTTAGACAAATAGTTGGCAGTAATATTCCATAAACAATCTGCTACTTCACTTCAGTCTTCGTCAGTCTCATTTTTCTCTCATCAACTACCACCCACCCATTCCTATGATGTGTAAAAGGCTGAAGGGGCTTTCTGCTATACTCTCCGGTTTTGCACTAGGGTCTGTACCTACTCGCAGTACAATTTAGTGGAAATGTCTAGTTAACCCGATAAATTGGTGCGTCTTGTGAGGTCCGTGTAATACTTATTTATTTGCTCTTTTTTTCTCTAATTGTAGTTCAATTAATTGTTTGTTAAGAAGGCAACGACCTTAGACAAGCGGTAATAAAAAGGTTGCTAGATTCATTTAATCGAAATGTTACCCTTAAATAAAACGTTCCGAACCGCGAGAAAAACAAACAAGTTCCGACTAACGAAGCAATATTGTCAGTTAACGGGTGATCTAGTTGGCGTTTCGGATAAATATATTTATGTACTTAACGTTCGCTGAGGCGTCGTAAACAAAATAAATCATTGTAATGTGATGCGAACGTCATAACTTTTTTACGCGGCAAATGGTGTCTTGGGGGGTTATATTTTGACACGACAAAGAACGAACCCTCGTATGACACGTTTAATCAGGTCACATAAACCGAGACAAACGTTAAACAGACATAAATAAATTGGTCCAGTGCATAGCAGATGCGTCGTATGGCCGAAGCCTGAGAAGAACTCACATGTATGTAATGATAAACGTATTATTGTGCACTTTATTATGTATTAAGAATATTGTTTCATTTCTCATAAATAAAAAAAAATTACGATTCTAGGATCTAGGTCACGGCCACAGGACAAAATCGAAAATGATAAAGGTGTGTGCGTGGCTTAAGTAAAATGACTTATAAATAAATAGGAGAATAGTAAGGAAATATACATACCGACCACTATATATACATATGTTCGTTTAGTTTTCGAACGACTATTTATTTACACACATATAGAAATAATAAAACCCTTACATATTCTAATTCTTCGTCTCCTATCTTTATATTCGCTCTTTTCCTACCTTTTCTTCCCTTTCTTATTAGTATTTTTGTTTTTATTTTATTTATTTTCATACAATACTGTTTTATCAATACCGCTACCATTTCTAT